CTTGTGTGGAGAGAAGTTTCTCCTGGAGAAGTCCTCTACCTCTTTCTCTTTTTAGAATTCCTGAGTCAAACCAGCCAGGGCTTCACACGAACATTTTTATGTCGCACAGATGGTCATGCGGTAACCCAGAGTCCTTTTCTTGCCTGTCATGGTTATTATTGCAGCACATCAGGTTCCCCGAAGTTTCGCAGTGGACTGTGTGGGTCAGGAATTTGGACAGGGTACAGCGTGGACAGCTTGTCTGTGCACCTGCTGCCTGGAGCCTCAGCTGGAAAGCTGCATGGATGGCTCCGGGCTGGAGTCATCTGAGAGCTCGTTGATTCACTTGGCTGGCACCTGGCTGGGGCGACTTGAAGACTTGCACTGCCGGCTGCAGTGCCTGAGGGTGGCCTCTCCGTGTAGCATGGCGTGGCTCTCTCACCGCATGGTGAACTCAGGGTAGTTGGACTTGTTACAGGATGGCTCAGGGCTCCATGTGCGAGTGTTTGATGAAAAAGCAGATTCATCTTCTCTGACCCAGTCTTGGGTCACACAGTGTTACATTTACCACAGTCTATGGTGGATTCAGGGGAGGAGGCAGCGACACCACCATCTATAGCTTTTACCATCTTCAGTTAGAGGGGTGTCAGAGCTTTAAACCTGCTGCTGCTGACTGTGGTTTTTCTTCAAAAGCTTGACTTTTCTTCCTTTCCCCACTTTTAGGATTGGTGGGGAGTCCTTAGCAGTTGCCCAGAATACGTATGCTGTGAGTTGGTTTAAAGGCAAAGAACTGAACCTGGTGTTTGGACTCCAACTTAGCATGGCTAGAATTGTAAGTACGGCAAACCTAATGAAGCCAAATAGGAAGCACAGGATTGAATATCACAGGGATCGCTTAAAAATTATAAGATGAAGGGTCGTGTATGACAGATTAGGTATTGATTTTTTAATGTATTTCTCTAGACCACAGTATAGCATGTACCTTATTTCCCTTAGAAACAGTCTAACGTGGCTAAATGAACATTCATTAGTTCAGAGAAGCTGAGCAGTGGAATGGATCTTTGCAGATTTCATGCTCTAATGTCTTATCCATTTGGGCATCCCTGCTATGAAAGTCTTCACATACGGTCATCTCCTGGCTCTGCTTGCCTGTTTTCAGTGATGGAAGCTCACTGTGTGATGGGGCAGCCCATCGACCTCAGTTAACTTTATGAAGTTCAAGTTCACATAGAGGTGACTCTGCCTGCACAAGTAGCTTTTACCAATTGCTCCAAACTTTCCCTCTGTAGTTAATGTCTACCTCCTTGCTGCACACCAGCATTTTGCTTATGAAGACAGCTCTTGAATTCTTAGTCAGACAGGCTCATTTCCTGTGGTTGGCTGTTCCTTATGCCTAGATTGCTGTTCCCCCAGATGTCCTCACAGCTAACTTCCTTCAGGCTTTCACTCCAAAGTCACATTCTCAGGGAGGCTTCCACTTCTTTATATTCTCCTTCCCTGTTTTATATGTTCCCCCTTTTTCTCAAGCATTTTTAAGCACTATTTAATGTACTATATAGTTTACCTCTTCTACCCACCCCACTAAAGCGTAAGCCCTATGAGAGCTAAAATTTATTTTTTGTTCTGTTCCTTACGGTTTTTCTGATACCTAGAACAGTGACTGACATAAAATTAGGGCTCAGTAATTGCTACATGAATGAATAAACGAATGAGGATGTTGTCTATAACTTTTACCATCTTCTTATGGACAATGAGAAGACGCATTCTTTTTCAGATGTCAATTCCAGGAAGAGCTGTGCTTTTTCTGAGTTAAGGTTTTTTTTTGTCATCAGTTCCCTGTGAATTTTGTAACTTGAGTTTCATTTTTTGTTTAGGCTACTAGGAAGTTACAAATGTACTGTGCTATTTTGAATACTAGGCATTTTCTATAAATTGGTATTTTTTGGCGTGTAGTAATCTCATCTGTGGCTTTAATTTTTTCCTTTCTAATGTTTTTTAACAAATTTACATCTGTTTAATCTGAGTCCTATATATCTATTCTCTAAGCCACCTCACATCCTAGGTTTTGAACAAGGCAGGGCGATATAGAAGATATAGGTTGATTTTTTCCCCCTCTCTTGCAGGGAAGTACAGTAAACATGAACCTCATGGGATGGCTGTATTCCAAGGTTGAAGCTTCGTTGGGTTCTGCTGGTCACACAACCCTTGGAGTCACACTTATGATTGGTTAGTGAATCCTGATGTCCCACGTTCTGTCTCCTCTGAACACGTCATAGGAAGTATCGCGGCAGAGAGGACGGAACCCTGGGATCTGGGTTAGACCACGTTGGTTATCATTTTGCCCGCACAATTCATGAGTTACTTGACCTGATTAGATACAGCAAGGCATTCATGCTTTTGGTTTCATGTCTATGTTCTTAAAGAAAAGGAGGATCTTGTCCTATACTTGTCTACTTAGCATTGTCCTGATGATTAACTGAGAGCATGTATGTGAAAACTCTGAAACCATCAGGAATTTAGAAATGTAGAGCTTAGATTTTGTAGAGATGATACAGTGTGGTGGGAAATCCACTAAGTTGGGGGTCAGGAGCCTGGGTTCTAGTCCTGGCTCTGACAGGTCAGTCACCCTGGACAAGGAAGGTAACCTCTGTGCCTCATTTTTCTTCTCTGTGAGATTGCGGGTATTGGGCCAGAACTGTACAGGTTCCTCCTGGCCCTAAGTCCTCTTAGCTGAGGCGCCACCTGCTGATGGCTGGGCGGGCCACTGGGAAGCGAATGGATTCCACCACCCGTGCTTTTTCTCAGAGCAGTGAACTTGTCTACCTGAGCCCCATGATGTGACAAGGGCTGCTTACAGAGCCCTTGAGTGACCTGTGAGGGGGGGTGAATGCCCTGTGCCATCTTTCATTCCTTAGGTTTCCTTGATACAGCCTGGTAAGAAGAGGACAGTGGAGTGGTAATCCTAAACAGGAGACTCGTACCTCGAGACTCCTCCTCCTCCCACGTCTCCTCAAATCCTTTGCCTTACTTAAACCCTCTTTCTTACTCTAAATGCTCTTTAGTATTTCTTCTAGTTCCCTCCATGATGGAGAGTTTGAGAATGTTAAAGAATTTTTGAGCCAGAAAAGACCTGTGCCGTTATGAATCAAAGTCTCTTATTTTACAGTTTGGAAAGTTTGAGCCCAGAGAGGTTAAGTTCTGTGTCTAAGATCACTCAGCTTGTTAGTGGCAGAAACAGACCCAATGCCTACTGTCTGTCATTTCAGCAGTTTTTCAGCTGGACCATATGTCAGCCAGTTAAAGATGCATTTATTTTACTAAACTTTTATTTTTTTTAAATCCTCACATGAGAATATATTTACTGATTTTATATATATGGAGAGAGGACGGAGGGAGGGAGAGAGAGAGAGATAAAGAGAGAAACATGGATCAGTTGCTTCCCATATGTGGAACCTGAAACCTAGGAATGTGCCCTGACCGGGAATCGAACGTGCAACCTTTTTGGTGTATGGGACAATACTCAACTAACTGAGCCACCCGGCCGGAGCCACTAAGCTTCTTTTTAAAATTCTTGACAAGTGTAAACGTGATTAATTATCTGATTTACAGTAGTAATATGAGGTCAGTGTTAGTGAGTAATGCTGAATATGCATAGGAAAGAGAGTCTGTGTGTGGGAAGGTGGGGCCCCCAGGCTGCCAGAGGTTAGGAGCAAGGGTGAGGGACTTTGGGAAGGAATCAGAAGGAAGATGAGGTGATCACAGAATCAGACTTTGCTTTTATAACCCCCCCTTCCCCTCCCCCGACATCCGTTAAAAATTGGTGCTTAGACTGAATTAAGAAAGTAGGACTAGCTTGCTAGCTTTCTTCCATTTGTATTCTGTATTAGAAGAGTGGACTAGTTTGTTCTAATCTTTTCCATCTATTCTCCAACCTTCTACTGGGAAATAATATAGTAATAGTGACTACTGTTTTTTGAATGCTTACCACATGCTCTTCCCTTCCTTCTCTCCTCACTTGTAATTGTGGGCTTTTCTTACATGTATTGAAATACTATCCCCTTTGGTTGCTAAGTTTTTCGGCTGTTAATGTGATGTGCTGTGTTTTAAGGAACCTTCAGTCTGGCTCGCTTTTAAAAATCTCTCTCTCTCTCTCTCTTTTTTAAATTACAGGGGGTATAACCTGTATTCTTTCACTAATTTGTGCCTTGGTCCTTGCTTACTTGGATCAGAGAGCAGAAAGAATTCTTCATAAAGAACAAGGAAAAACAGGTGAGTCTCAATGCAAGAAGAGTGGGACTTTGGGGAATTATGGCCTTTTTGAAATAATGTACAATTATGCAAGTTGCTAATGCAGTGTTTTAAACCCAGTGAGGCTTAAAACATGTCTTTTGATCTCTTATTTCCAAATCTATTTCTATTTGTCTAAATTTTGGGGGACATGTTCCCCCTTATATGTTCTTTGTGTATTTGCAAAATGACAAGTATTTCTCATCATTAGGTAGGTAGATACTAATCTTAGGTTTTGCTTTTTCTCATGTCTTTTTAAGTTATCCCAGAAACTATGTCCCAGTTATTTACTGAGAAAATTTTTTGACTTAATTGCAGAAGTTAATCACATGATCAATAAAAAATGATCTTGACTTGTTATGTGAAATTATACTGATGCCTCTTCCCTTTCTTGTCTAAGGTGAAGTTATTAAGCTGACGGATGTGAAGGACTTCTCCTTGCCCTTGTGGCTCATATTTATCATCTGTGTCTTCTATTATGTGGCGGTATTCCCTTTCATCGGACTGGGGAAGTGAGTATTCTCTAGCATTCCACTTCTGCTGACTAAGTTATAATGAGATTCCAATCACATAAATGTAATTGTTTAGGCTGTTAATCTTGCTTCTCTGCTTATAGTTTATATATATACACAGAAATTGTTTCATATCCTGGGATACAACTGATTTTCTTAGCTTAAGGTTTAGTATTGTTTAATATATTTTTAATATTTTTTGAAGAAATACCTAATAACAGTTTTTGATTCAAAATACTGGTTTATTTTACTGCTTGATTTTAGGTTAGATTTTTTGAAATTTCCTCTTTATTCCTTGGTTAGGAAGCTTATTGAGAATGGAGACAGCATACTGGCTTATAGTGATTGGGCATATTTTTATTTCTTAGGACTGTAATTCCTCCACATTCAAATTCAGGATTCAAATCAAATTTTTCTTGCTTCATCTTCTACCTCTCTGTCTTTTTTCTTTGGCAACTGCTTAAACAGAACAGTGTGTGAGTGCGAATGTGTTTATGGGTGTGTGTGTTTGTAATAAAATCCTTAAAATTCAGGCTGTAATTCTAAATAATTTGAGACAAGAACCCTATGCATTATATAGCAAAAAACCTGGTCAGTGCAGCTTTTACAGAAAAGAAGCTCTCTTAATCCCCTGTGGTAGTGCATTGGTTTTCTGAACATTTGTGTGTACCATTTGCAGTATATATAAATAGGTGAAAAAATAGGCATCAGTATATTTTATTTAGTCAGTGAAATATTTATATAAACCCTAAAGTTTTAGCCAGTTACTTGAATGTGAATAATTTCAAATAAGGTGGGAAAATAGTATCAAGATGAAAAAGTTGACTAAACTTAGAATTATTGTATTCAGTTTTTATTCTGCCTTTATTCAAAAACAAAACAGAAAACAGAGCAGTTCCCTAAAGTGCTTATTTCTCTCTCCTTATTTTAGAGTGTTCTTTATAGAGAAATTTGGATTTTCTTCCCAGGCAGCAAGTGCTATTAACAGGTATTTCATTAATTCTTTAAGTGCTTATTGTGTGCCTAGTGTGGGTCTTTAATTATAACCGAATGTTATAAGACATATGTGATGTAACATCCACAGTGTGAAATCACAATTAAATTGGGACTTGATCCTGGGTGGCCATCTTTGCATTAATGGAAAACCAAAGAAGTGTTGGACCACTCTTTATATCTTTATATTCCTATTTACCAACGACCATTTTAGAAGATTATTAAACTAAATGTGCTAGGATTTGCTTTGCCTAATGGATTTAGGGACTTGGATTTTTTTTTTTTTTGTAGCTGGGATACATTTCATTAAATAATACCTTTTATATTCTCTGGGCAGTGTTGTGTATGTCATATCAGCTCCCATGTCCCCAATATTTGGGCTCATGGTGGATAAAACAGGGAAGAACATCATCTGGGTTCTGTGTGCAGTGGTGACCACCCTTGCTTCCCACATGCTGCTGGCCTTCACGCTGTGGAACCCGTGGATTGCTATGGTAATGTGGCTTTTCACACCTGGGGGGCTCGGGGCTTCAGGGAGGACCCTGTAAATCGCATGTCAGGAGCCACTCAGCTCCTCTGATAGCAGTGCTTTGTGACAGTGGGGAAAACAATGAGTTGATTTCAGTGTCTACAAAATAACTACTAGTATTTTTAAAGTGCATAAATATTAATTACTAATGCATTGGGTATTTTTAATTTCATTTGATTTATTTAATAGGGTAACCTCAATGCCAAAATAGTATCTGAAATAAAATAGTCTTTTGAAAGCCAAAGTGCTTATTAGTTCCATCTATTTTTCTGTACTTCATGAAAAGTTGTCCTTCCATTATAGGTGGCAAAAAAACCCCCACAACTATCGGCCCAATATCCATGATTTCACATCCTTTTGTCTTTGACATTTAGCAGGTCAAAAAGTGATAAGGAATTCATCAAATTTTTGTGATTGTTCTTCAGAGTGTCATTTTTAAGACCACAGGGTGAAGTGCTGTTTTCCTTTCCTGTAATAAAAGAATATCTTGAAAAAAAAAAATATATATATACATATGGCGGGGCAAAAGTAGGATTACAGTTGTTCTTATGGAAAATAATACAATAATTAAATAATAATACAAGAGTAAACTCTGTTTCGTGCACTCACAATTGTAAACTTACTTTTGCCGCTGTGCACTAGGTGAGAATTCTGTAGGACAGGTTCCTAGAAGTAGAAATGCTATAGTAGAGACTTTGCACAGTTAACATCTTGGTAGACATTCAGTAGAGCTCTATCAGTAATATAAGAATGTATTTGTTTTTAGTGTTCTTGTCATTGTTGGATATTGGCATTATTTTAATCTTTACTCACATGATAAGTATAACTCTTATTTTAATTTAAATGACAAAGTTCCCTTTTTAATTGAAGAAAAATGATGTTGCCTTGGTTGTTTAACTTGAGATTCCTAATAAATATTGGAAAATTAGCTTGTCTATAACATTGGCAACAATTTTTTACAAATTAGCTTTGTTTTCTTTCTTGGTTCTTGACTGTGCCCTGGGCCCAGGCAGTTATGTATATCTATAAGTAATGTGATTAAGACAGTGTGCATGTATTTTCTCACTAGAGGGATACTTCTAAGGGAGGGCCAGGGCATTTTTGGATTAAATATGAGTTTTAACCTGATTACAATAACATTTGCATGAAGATTCATATGTTAGCTAATATGCCACTCTTGCTAATCTGCGTCAAAGGAAAGTCACTTTGGTTAGTATAAGACTTTTACCCTTTTCTGTATCACTTTCTATAGAGTCTCCTGGGACTCTCCTATTCATTGCTTGCCTGCGCATTGTGGCCAATGGTGGCGTTTGTAGTTCCTGAACATCAACTGGGAACTGCATACGGCTTGTAAGTATTGCACCGGGAATCATGTGATGTCTCTCTGCTGTACCAACTTATTATCATATGAAACTCCAGGTCTCCTGAATCTAGTCGTCTTTAGGCTTCTGGGACAGCTCTAAACCTGGAAATAACTAAAAAATTCAGTTAATCTGTTTATGTTTAACCTGGAGCAACGAAAATGGTCCAGCAAGGGAGCGGGAGGTGAGCTAACCCGGAGAGGTAATTGCTGCCATTACCACCCCACTGCCTGTGTATCTGAGGGTTTCTAGTGAGAAGTTGAGTTCTGGTTTCTGACCCACAAAGCAGTAGGAGGTTGGTATTCACTTGGTTTTGAGTTCATAGTGCACTTAATAAGGCAAGCTCCCCTACCTTTGAGCATGAAGTTTAGTAGAGGAAACAGTCATGGAATTTAAAAAAATCCCTGGTTGAAAATGTCTCAACACTAATACCATGTTGTTTGTAGATGTTGATATTTATAGTGAATTGTTCCTCTCTGAAGACTTGAAATTGAAATGTGTTTTTATATTCCTTCGATTTCAGCATGCAGTCCATTCAGAATCTTGGTCTGGCGATCATTTCTATCCTTGCTGGCATGATACTGGATACTCGGGGATATTTGTTTTTAGAAGTTTTCTTCATTGCCTGTGTGTCTTGTAAGTGTGCCATGTGGCAACATTTGTTTACTTTCTTGTAGTATGTAGCAGAATGTTGTTATTTCCGCTTTTAGGTGTTACTGTTACTTTCTGTTTTCCCTTCTTTTAAATCAAATATCTAAGATGCAGCTCTCAGGTTTGCCTGATTCTTAGCCTGTGCATCAGAGCAGCTTCCCGCTGGTGACTTTGTAGTCTCTGAAGACTCACAGGCATTTTTCAGGAGATTCCTATTCTTAAAGGCAGCAGTAGAATATGTGTTATCTTCTGTTTTAAATATTTACATTAAAAAGAATTTTACTCCCTTTAAAGTAGAATCCTTTGAAGGGTCCTAGGTGTGACTATATGGATGTATGTGTGATTTAGGTGTGCTCAGGGTTAATTCATCAGGCAGTTTAAATTATTTTTATTCTTAGCCCTTTTATGTAATTTTTACCTGTAATGATTTGTTGGTTAAAAATAGCATGTGTTAGAATACAGTTGAAAACTATAAAAATGAACCAGCATTTTTCCTTTGATTGTCTTCACATACACAAATTGTGTTCATCTGAAAAAAATTCTCATATAATATATTAAGATGCCTTTTATACTTTGATAACATGTATTTAAAGAGGCAAATCCCAGTGAAGATATTATCAGGGTTCGTTTTCATTTACAGGGAATAATGACTATCTATACTTGAAGTATGGTGTTTGCAGAGAAATGCTTATGAATATAGCCTGAATACATTTTATCTCATATTTTAGAAATAAGCAACGAAATTTAAAAAAAAGCTTTATTTGTTTTAAGAAAGTGTTTAAGAGTTTAAAAACCAGTCATGAAAGTGTTTTTGTCTATTTTTTTAAAACTAAATATATTTTTATTGATTTCAGAGAGGAAGGGAGAGGGATGGAGAGATACAAACATCAGTGATGAGAGCCAGTTGATTGGCTGCCTTCTGCTTGTCCCCGCCCCCCCTACTGGGGATCGAGCCCACAAACTGGGCATGTGCCCTTGACTAGAATTGAATGTAGGACCCTTCAGTCCACAGACCGATGTTCTATCCACTGAGTCAAACCAGCTAGGGCTGTTTTTGTCTACTTTTAATGCTGCAACATATGGTTTAATTTCAAGCTTCAGTTTCATATTACTCGGTTCCCAAACCAAATAGCACATCATTGTTGCCATGTTAATTTTAAATAAACTAAGTGGGCCTTACCTGTTAAGGTAAAAAAACAGGCATCTGACTTTCTGACGTATGAGCTGGCTCTGGGCTTCTGGGAGTCTAATGACCACATCCTAATGTTTGATTAATTTGTAAAATGGACATGGTATTTTCAGACCTATCTCTCCCCCCTAACC